ACAATATAGGGATAACCATCGACCAAATTTTACGAACGCTCAAGTCGATTCTCGACACCAGCGATCCCGACCAATTAGCATCTCGGGTCCACTATCTCCGCGCGATAATTAACGTGGCGCTAGGAACTGACTACCAGATCTTGCACTTCTACCCCCTTACATTTTCCCTCATTTTCCCCTTGGTACTCCGCCTTCTTCTCCTACACGCACGTCTATGCTTTCAACCCCTTCGATATCCTATTTCCCTGTTTCTTTCTCCGAGCAACTCACTCCTCAAAATTCATCTGACCGCTCTCGTTCCCCTTCATCCGACTGATCCTCTACGTTCGTTTTCCCTTCTTTCCTCATCCCCCACCCCAAACACACACGTACACATACAGGATGTTATAAACGTCTGGGAAGAGCAGAATAACTCGAAAAATATTAGTCCGAGAAAAAATGCGAAGTACTGGGTTTTTATGATTTTTCCTGGCTATCTGACGGTGACCTTGGATTTGACCTTGACAATGACCTTGAAGGTCATTTCAAGGTCAGGTCAATTTTTTTAAATAGCACCCCATACTTTTGACACCAGAAATAAAAAAAGCGGAAAATTTTACATTCGGATGTGACCTTGAACACTGCCAAATTTGACCTCTGAAGGTCACATAAAAGTCTAAACTTGTTTTAGGCTGAAAACGCGAATATCTTCGAAAATGCACCTGCTAGGGAGCAATGTTACGCATAAGAATAAGAATGTAGAGGTCAACGAGGGACATTCAGCCGTGACCTTGCCGTTATTCTCAAGGTCATGAGTTAAGATTATTATTAAGATCAAACCGGATTTTTTAGGACTGAAAGTCCTATACTTTTGACCTAAAAGTGTCAAGATTGAAAAATTTGACGTTCGGATATGACGTTTTCAACCTTGACCTTGTTCTTAAGATTATGTGTCAGTCATATCAAGGTCAATTAATTTTTTTAGGCTGGAAACACATACTTTTACCCCTCCCCCATAATGTGAAGTGTGAGATTTTACGTTACGTACGAGGTCACACTCCGATTGTTGGTAATTCTTCAATATCGGACGCCATTTTGAATCGGTCATCTTGAATTTGTAAAATCCAACGTCGGATTCGATTTCAGAAACGACTTCAAAAACTCCTTAAACAAGATCCAATTTTTGTTATTCTTAAATATCGGTCGCTATCTTGAATCGAGCATCTTGAATTTGCAAAATCCGACGTCCGATTCGGTTCCCTCGTTGACCTCTACATTCTTATTCTTATGCGTAACATTGCTTCCTCGCAGGTGCATTTTCGAAGATATTCTCATTTTCAGCTTAAAACGAGCTTAGACCTTTATGTGACCTTCAGAGGTCAAATTTGGCAGTGCTCAAGGTCATATCCGAACGTAGAACTTTCCGCTCTATTTATTTCTGAGGTCAAAAGTGTGGGGTCCCGTTTTAAAAAATTGACCTAACCTTGAAACGACCTTCAAGGTCATTGTCAAGGTCAAATCCAAGGTCACTGTCAGATAGCCAGGAAAAAATCATAAAAGCCCAGTACTTTGCATTTTTTTAGGACTCACATTTTTCGAGTTATTCTGCTCTTCCCGGACTTTTATAACACCCTATATATACAGGATGTCCCATTTTAAGCATCACCCTAAATATCTCTCTTATTTTTCATTTTTGAGAAAAATGGTTCGGACACGTTTTGTATGGTTTCGAGGGAGCCATAAGATGGTACCATTGATTTGACCTTGAAGAGTCATTTGAAAGTCACGTGAAGGTTACCTCAATTCTTTAGATAGTATTCTTTATTACATATTCTTTATTACATATTCTTGTAGCTGACCTCGAGAGCTTCCCAAAACACTATAATCAAATGTTTTTTGGTGAAGTACTTTTCGAATTATAAAGCTCCAAATTTACAAAATTTTAATAAAACACAAAATATTTCGTAAAACATTCATTTTCTGATAAGCTTATCTTACATGATCCAACTAGTTAAGGCAAGATCCGAGCATGACCCAACCAGTTAAGGCCAAATCCGAACATAATCCAACCAGTCAAGGCAAGATCCGAGCATGATCCAGCCAGTCAAGACGAGATCCTGTATTGCCTGATAATCAATGAACCGTAACAATTGTGAAAGTGCAATTGTCAATTCTTTTATATATTTATATTTTATATATTTTATATATTTTATATATTTTTTAATAATGAAACAAATATCAAGAGGCTTGTAACGTGTAACGGCCGAACTCCGCGGTTCGGTCGCTGCTACGCGTTTCGCGCGGATAAGGCTCGTCGGAGTCCGGGTTCGGTGAGGAGGAAAGCAGCGAGACGTTTGAGAAGAATATAAGTACGTTAGCTTTATTCTATATTTAATTTGGTACAAGAGTTCGGCCCCGAAGGCGATGTCGCGGGTTGCGTTTATAAGGCGCGTCGGTACGGTACGGTGCGGTGCGATGAGCGGTACAAGCGCTCGTACGGACGGATAGGCCGTGCGGAAGGCGGGGCCTATTGCGCGACGCGTGTAGACCGTAACGACGGTAACGGCGCGGTGATCGGTCTCGCTTCGCGACGCTGGGCGTCTCGGACAATTATCGCCCAATACTCGCTTCGGAATTGCTCACGTAAAAATGGTCGCCGGACCGGAGATCTCGATTCTCGGTCGAACGCACGCACGCGAGTCGCGGGAGACGCGAGATGATTTCGTCCGTCGGGGCCGAGGACTCTCGACAGAGAAGGCGTACGCACCTTCCCTTTTCCCTACGTTCGTGGAGGAAAGCGACCAAGTGCTGCGGACACTCAGCGGAGACGGCGGACACACCGTCCCGGGTTCTTGGTCGCTAGACGGATCGCCTAAAGGCTGAGTACGCTCAGCGGAGTTCGCCGACGGGCGAACCCCTGGCTCAAGGCGGCGGGTAACGGTGATAGACTGTCGAGTACGCTCGACTGAGCACGCGTACACACGAGCCCAGGAAGACGGGAGACGGCCAAGTATCGAGAACGCTCGATCGAGACTGCGGACGCACAATCCCGTGTTCTTAGTCGCCGGTCGGGTAGTCGGAAAGCGGAAGGCAGAGCGAAACGGTCCGGATATTCTCTCTTTCGGCATGAAGCGTCTAGATCGAATCGGCGGTACGGATCGGTCTGGTGACTAGGAGCTCGATCGCCGCCGTTTTATAGTTGTTCGCGCTACGATTGATACGGCGGCGATCGAGCGGCGCGCCTATCGGCGCGAGGCACGGTGACGGCGCGTGATCGCGGCCGCGCGCGCTAGCGGCAGCGCGTGATCGCCGTGGCGCGCGATAGCGGCGGCTCGTGATAACGGCGGCGCGATCGTCTTCGAGTTTTTTAGGGTGGCGCAAAGCGCCGTTCTTCGGCCCGACAGGTGGTCGGTCGGGCCGGTAGTAACGAAGTGCATCTGCGCCTCGTTACAAACGGTCGCGCCTCCGGACTCGGTTTTTCGGGTCGGTCCGACCCTGTGTGTCGGATCGCGATCTGCGATTCGAATATAGGAAAGATTTCGGGTGAAGATGTGTGCGTGTCAATAATTGTATTGTATGTATAGAACAATAACTCTTTATTCTTCTTTCGACTCACGCTACGATCGCGCGTTATGGCACGACATCCCAATGTTTGGGTGTCCTGTTGTCGTGCGACTTTGTCTCGCTGTCGCTGGGATCTACGTGTGGTCGCGGTCGTGGGCGAGCGATTTGCTCGCTGTACAATTACAGAATAGCGGCGAGGCGGAAATCGAATGGTGTGTAGTAGCCTCCTTGGCGAGGAAGGCGAAACGCCGTGGATGAGGGCTCGATATGTTGGGGCGACGGATGTCGCTTGCCGGCCGCGCGGTCAAAGCTCACGGTCGGTGGGCGAGATCCTACGCCGTCGGGCCCCTTGCCTCGCCGGAATCCTATATGATGAAACGTGACAACAAAAAAATGAAATTACGAGAACGTTCCAGAGAACCCACCGCAGTAACGGCAAACTCGCCGTGCGGTCTCTATATCGCAAAAGACGGCACAAGAACGGGAGATCGTTTCGGAAAACTCACCGGAGTGACGGCAAACTCGCCGTTCGATCTCTGTAGCGCAAAAGACGGCACAAGAACGGGAGATCGTTCCGGAAAACTTTTTTTTTTATAACGCAGAAAAAACCCATCATGGGTACCCTCCGCCCCCTGGGAAGGGCAGAGAGTTATGTGAGACTCTTACGCACTAAAACTCCTGCGGGATGTCTACCAGTCGGACCGAGATGGGGGGAGTCAGGGGAACTGCGCCAGCATTCCTTCCCCGACACCCCGGCCCCAGAGCTCTAACGGAGCCCCACGCCTAAGATCCACGCCCGTGTGGATCCTCTCCAGGAAGAGGGTCCGGGCGCGGTGCCCCGATCGGCGTGCCGATCGGGTTGGCCTTCCGGTATTTTACGGGAGAGAGGGGACACCCACCCTCCCTCCCCGTCCCCTCCTCGAGGAGTGATTTCACTCCAGAGGGAGCGGGGGAACAAGACCCTTTCCCAGAGGGCCTCGTTCCCCCCTACCCTACCTCGCCGACGCCCGGGGGAGGGCGAGGGGGGCTTACACTCCTCCCCCCGACGACCCTCCCACGCGCGTCCGCAGTCGGGCCCGAGGCGGCCGAGGGGGCAATCACCGGTTGTCCGAAGATCGTTGCTTCCCCTCGGCCGGCGCCACCTCGGGCCCGCTACCTAAACGTGGGGAGCCCCGTCCCCTCCGCCGTCCTCGGACGGTCGAAGGGGCGGCGCTTCCACTCGGCGGCTTCCTTCTGGGACATGATGTCCTTGCAGAAGGAGGCCGCCTTCCCCCACACCTCCTCGCTCCCGCACATGGCGCGAACCATGCGCGGGAGCGAGAGGGCCTCCATCCTGCACCCCACCGCCAGGGCCAGGACTCGGCGCCGCTGGTCCCATGCGGGGCACGAGACCAGCGTGTTTTGCGCCGAATCCACGCGCTCCGGGCAGTGATGGCACTCGGTGGTGGGTTCCTTTCTTATCCTATGCAGGTATATTCGAAACATCCATGTCCGGTCAGCACCTGCACCAGGTGAAAGGACAGTCCGCGTCCCCTCCTGCCGACCATTTCTGATAGGCAGGGGCGGACAGCCTCGGCCGTCCAGCGCCCGAACCTTCGCGGGTCCGCCACTTCGGCGGACCACTTATCGAGGCTCCGAGCACAGGCCTGGGCCTTTAGAGCCCTCAGGTCCCTGACCGTTAGTCCCTCCCCCTTTCTGCGGAGCTCCTTTATTCGCCAATAGAGGAGAAACCTCTCCTCAGCGAGGAACTCCACTGGGGGGGAGCCAGCCAGGGTAGTCGCCGCCAGATACGATACGGTGGCGTACCCCCGGATCGCCCTCATGACCACCGGCCGCATCGCCTGACGAATCAGGTTTTTGTTGCGGCCGGTGGCCAGTAGCCGTGGCGCCCATATGGGCGACCGAGTGCACTACCCCGACGTAGAGGCGGCGAGCCCGCCATCCCGGGCCCCCCTGGGTTCACATCAAGCCGGCCAAGGCCGAGCTTATCTTGCGAACCCGGGGGGCCAGGCGCCTGAAATGGGCCCCAAAGTCCCAATGGCTGTCCAGCGTCAGCCCAGATACTTTATCGTGGGCCCGACGCGGACGCGGACACCATTCATCAGGACCCAGGCCTTTCGCGGCCACTCCTTACCCCGGCGATGAAATAACATCACCTGGGTTTTCTGGGGGGCCACTTTAAGCCCGAGGTCACTGATGGTGCCCACCACCTAGTTCAGTGCCGTCTCTGCTTGGAGGCGAGCCTCCCCCCAATCCTCCCCCTCGACGAGCCCCAACGTATCGTCTGCGTAACAGACCACGTGGGTGCCGAGGGGAAGGGGAGAGCGCAACACCTAGTCGAACGCGATGTTCCAAAGCAGGGGGCCCAGTACGGACCCCTGCGGAACACCGCGTTCCATTTGGCGCCAGCCTTAGACCCCGCCTCTTCCTGAGTAGGCGAGGTCCCTGTCCCTGAAATAGACCGCCAGGATGCGCCGGAGATAGACGGGCACCCCGTAGTACTCGAGGGCCCGTCCAATCTCCGGCCAAGGCAGGGTGTTGAACGCATTGGTGATGTCCAACGACACCGCGAGCAACACCCTGCCTCCCTCCTCCACAGCAGTACGGGCCAGGTCCCGGACGTGCTGGACAGCGTCCAGCGTCGAGCGTCCGGGCCTGAACCCGTATTGATTGCTGTGGAGGTCCGGCCCTTCCAGGGACATATGCTGGACGAGGCGGTCGGCAATGATGCGTTATAGCATCTTGCCCGCCTCGTCCAGCAGGCAAATCGGCCTGAAGGCTGGCGCCCCGCCGGGCGTCTTGCTCTCCTTCGGACCAGCTTAGCCCTCCTCCACTCATGGCCCCAAGCCTCTTCCTGGCCTTGGCGAACTCCTCCAACGAGACCCCCAGGTCCTCGTTCTAGTCCCCGTCCCGTAATTCCGGGATAGGGATCTGGGGAGGGCCCCCCTCCACCTTCGGGAAGAGGGTGTCGAGGCGCCCCTCGAGGTCCCGGGGGTCCATCGACTCCGTTGGTGGGGGCGCCCACGGACGTATTTTCCCGACCGTTCGTTTGTATGGGCGCCCCCACGGCTCTTCGTCTAAGGAGTCCACCAGTTTCTCCCAGGCTCTCTCCTTGGCTTCCTTAATGGCGGCCTTCAGGGCTTCCCTCTCGTTGAGGTAGCCCTGTTTTGTCCCCGCGACATTCCCCCCGTCACGCCGGGCTCTGGTGTAGAGCCTCCTGGCTCGGACGCAGGAGTCGCGGATCTCCGCGATCTCCTGCGTCCACCAGTACGCCGCCCGGCTCTGGCGGGGGTAGAACCGGGGCATCGCGACGCCGCACGCCGACGTCACTATGCCCACTACCTTCCTCGCCAGTTCCTGGGGAGGGAGGGGGTCCCGTTCATCTGGCTCTCTTCCGAGATGCCAGGTGGCGCAAGAACGGCCGCCTGGAACCTGTCCACGTCGAGTCGACCGAGGGCCCATCGTTTGGGGAGGGGAAAGTCCCCCTCCCCAGGGCGGCGGGCCAGCACCCGGTGAGGGGTGGGGAGTCGCAGAGACCACATCACGTATCTGTGATCAGATAATGATTTTCTCTCCTCCTCCACCACCCACTCCCATAAATCCCGGGCAGCCGAGGGCGAGGCCCACGTCAAGTCGATGACTGACCCACCTTCCCCCGGCCGCACACAGGTGCTGGTGGATCCTGTGTTCATGAGCACAAGGCCCAATCCCGCCGCACAGTCGGCCACGACCTTGCTCCGAGGGTCCCGCTGCCGGGGACTGCAGCCCCACTCTTCCGAGTGGGCGTTAAAGTCCCCGGCAACTACGACAGGTCGGGGGTGGCACGGACGCACCACATCCCCGATCCTGCCTAGGACCCTGTCTATGCGGGCAAGTTTGCCGCGGCCTTCTTTGTTCCTGTGGTGGGGGAGATAAACCCCCACCACAGTGATGGGCCCGCAGTCGACCGCCACATACGAGCCCCCCCTCTTCCTGATCATACAGGGGGGGAGCCCGCTGCGGGTCTGGCCACCACAGCCACCAAGCCGCACTTACTACTCAGCCAGTTGGGGTTACCGGCCGGGATGAAGTGCGGTTCGGTGACCACCCCCAGCCCGGCGCCCAGTTCCGCAAGCCTGTGTATCCACAGGTCTTGGGCCCGGGCGCCGCGGCCGAGGTTGGCTTGGGAGACCCGAAGGAGCGTGAAAGCTAGGCCTTCACGTCTCCTCCGGGCGCTCCCCTTCCGCTCCCTCCGAGGAGGCCTCAGGCGGCGAAGACGCCGCCTCAGCCTCCCCTGATGGAGCGTCAGCCATTGTGGCCTCTGGTTCAGATGCCTCCGCAGAGACTATTGACTCCGTTGCCTCTTCCGAGGCTATGTGGGGGGTCCCTAACTCTGACCCTTCCATCTCTAGGGAGTAAGAGAGAAGGGCGCATGTTGAGGAAGCCAGGGATGGCGCGTCCTCTAGCTTCCCCTCTACTGCCGTTGGGAGTGGAGCAATCTCTTCCACCCGCCTCACCTGGTCCGTCCTGGCTTCATCTTGAGAAGGCGCCGAGTTCCATGTCGCCGCCGTCTCCTCCCCAGGTTCCGCTGTTGATGTTGCCGCCTCCATTGCCCCGCGTTTTCGTTTCTCATGCCGGGGCTTTAGCTCCGCCGGAATGTCCATGGCGGCAGGGTCCAGGACGCGGTCTTCTGCCGCCTCCACCGCCATCCGGTTCGCCTCCATCGTTGGGGGGGGGAGTCAGCCCGACCTCTCCGCTATCTCCTGATTCCTTTCTAGGGGGGAGGATGACCCTTTCCTGGTCTTGGATGGGGGAGCAGCCCCAGTTGCCCCTCCGTCAGCTCCAGTTCCGGCCTGCTTCCTCCTCCCCGTTCTCCTCTCCTTCCCAGTGAGGGGGTGGCAGGAGGGGCCGTCGACCTTATGGTCGGCTTTCCCTCCAAGCCCCGCACAGACCGGGCAGTGGGCCGCTGCCGCCTCGTACTCCTTGGCGCGGTGGCCGGGGTTACCGCAGCGATAACACGCATCGCTGCGGTCGACGGTGTTTCCGCACCGTCCGCGCACGTGTCCCTGTTCCAGACATTTGAAACAGAACTCGGCGCGGGCGGGCAGCACCGTCATCCCGACGCTGGTCCAGCCGATCCGGACCCGCCCCGTCGCGGCAGCCTTGCTGGCCGCCGCGAGCGGTCACCGCACCACCGTGGAGGCCCTTCCCTGCTGGGTGAGGTTGTACCTGCCCACGGATACTTCCGTGGGCAGGCACCCCTCAGCCTTAACCACCGCGGCTGCCACCTCGTCGGCCCCGACCGTCACGTCCAGGCCGGTGATTCGCACTGATGCGATCTTCACCGGCCTCTGGACGCGGTAGTCGGGGCCTTTCTCCGCCGCCAGCTTGCCGAGCTCCTCGGCAAGCCGGTCGGCGGAGGGCCCTGAACCGAGACCAGGCACCTCAATCAGCAGGGCACCCGTCCGGGCTGCCCGAATCTCCAAGGCTCCTTGGATGCCCAGCTCTTCCGAATTGATCCGGTGCCTGGCCTCAGTCATAAAGTTTTTGTAAGACCCCTCAGGGCACGTTATGGTGACGGCCGCCGATCTAGGCGGCCTCGATACCACTGCCGCCACTTTCGGTCCCCCCCCCCACCTAGGGGCTGGGGCCTGTTGTTGAGGAGCCGCTCCATTCCTCTTCTGCTCCTGTCTCTTCTTCTTCTTCTCCTTCCTCCCAACTACTTTGCTCCAGCTTTCACCTGGAACAGAAATTGACTGGGGCGCAGCAGGGGGGAAAAGGAGGGGTACCCTTCTCTCTTCCTGCTTCTGGCCAGGCGCTCGGCCAGTCCCTTTCCCCTTCCTAGGTTTGCTCTCTCCTTGGGTCTTCTTCTCCTTGTTGGGAGGAGCTTCCTCCCTCTTCCTTGAGGGAGGACCTTCCTCCTTTTTGGCTGCCAGAAGTTGCTCCTGGGTTTGCTTCCGCTTGTCCTTGGCAGCCTTTCTCTTCCTCTTTACTCTCCTCTTTTCCTCCGTCCTCCTGCTTCTTGTTGGAGCTGAGTTCTCGCTTGCTCCCGCATTCCCTTTCCCGGTCGGGTCAGCAGACGCTTCCCTTCCGGAGGGGCCGAAGCGGAGGGAGGACTAAGGATCTGTATGAGGTCCTCCCTGTTGGGGACCCATGATCCTCTGTCGGCCTTTACCTTTTCCCTACATTGTAGGAAATAATCTATCCCTCTGGATAGCGCTTTGTAGACCTCCCCCCTTCCGGTTTTAAGTTGAGCTTGGCAAGGTCATCGTCAAGCTGTTTCTTGATCCCTCCAATCGGAGGTCTCAGGACCGGAGGGGGGCATCCAGTGGCATGGTATCGTCGTAAAACGGGATCACGCCACTAGAGCCCCCCCTGACAATCTCTTCCGAGGAGCTTGAGGAGCTTTCCACTACTGGCCTCCTCTGCACCTTCCTCTTCTTTTTCCTTGAGGGACCTAGGCGGGGCTCCTCCTCCACCGACGAGGCTCCACTCCTGACAACCTGGGCAAAAGTCTGAGCAGCCAACTGCGGCGCCGGTGCCGGTCCCGTCTCATTGTCTTTAGCTGCTAGCTTCTCCTTCAGGCTTCGGACCTGAACCCTGAGTGTCCTCAGTTTCTCTCTGGCCTCTTTATTTGCTGCTGCTGCCACTGGCTCTCCCTCCTCCCCGTAAGCTGCAACTCTCGCAAGGAGGGTCGTCATAACGGCCTCGAAGGTAGCCACTGCTCTGTTCATGAGTGACACGAAGGTCCCTTTTAACGTGTTGGGCCTTCGTGCCACCAGCCTTATGGCTCCAAGAGCACGGCCCACCTCCGAGGCCAGTTCCGGCGTTCTTGCCTCGCATAGTAGCGCTCTCGAGG